TAGTGATGTACATCAAGAGTTATCCTTACAGGATACAGTGAAAAATGTCACTTTTTTTTCGTGAAAAATGTCTTTTTTTTTTTTACCAAAATTTCTACTTTTGAAATGTTCGATTGATAATCCTTTCAATGGAAAATATTTTCCGATTTTTGGTCATGTGATCTTATTTTTCACGAAAATAAAAAAAAATATTTTCTTGAATGATGGGTGATTTTTATTTTTCAGGTAATTTACTCCCTCTTTCTCATCTATCTTATCTCTCGTCTATCACGATAAAAAATGAACAAATATGATATTTTTTAGGTTGAAAACTAAATCAATCAAACACTTTTAATTAATAATTTTCATATAAATAAGTTATAAGCAATTAAATAGCTTAGAATTTATTTTATTTTCATGTAAATTCTATGCTCGCAATCAAACACACCTTAAATATTAAATTATTGTTTGTACGCTTCATCCCAATCTTTCAGAACATTTACAAATATAACCACAATCAATTTTATTGGCACAATTGGTCCCCAACATTTTAAAATTAACAAATTCGTCATTTCCATCCATTTGGTGATTAAGGTCGTGTAAAACAACATATGTAACCATCTTCCCTGCTACCATTGTCACCATTTCCACCGTAAGAACAAACAAAAGTTGAAAGAAAAAGGGCAAATTGCACTTGGGTGCCAAACCTTTCATTTTTTTCACCACAGTCCCCACGCGTACAGAAAAGGCAAAATAAGGACATTTGGACAAACGATGTATCGTTAGTTGACCAAAAAATTCAGGGTAGACCTTCATTTGACCATTATTAATAAGGACAACTTTGTTCCTCCATATTTTCAAATTAAAACAATTAAAATGATTTAAAGAAAAAAGAGAAACAAAAAATTCAAAAAATAATAAAAAAAGTATTAAAAATAATAATTAAAAAAAAAACTTCATGTCTGTAAATTGTAATATTACATTGAGAAAATTTTGTTGGTAATAAAATATAATTGAAAATAATCCAATATATTTTTATTTTTATTTTTGTAATTCTAAAAATAAATATTTTATAAATTATAAATCGAGGGAAATTTCTTAAATGAGTAAAGAAATAAAAATTTACAAAATGAATACTCACTATGAAAAATACAGTAAGGATTGAAATGATAATTACAAACATATCTTATGTGCACGTAATATTATAAACAATTAACAAAACTATAAGAATAAAAAGATATCTCAAATTGACTAACTATTTCGTCTAATTATTCAAAAAAATAATAATAATGAACTTCATTTTGTGACATCTCCAACTTCTCAGTTGGTGATCACTGATGAAGTCAACTGTGATAACTCTTATCTTTACAATGATTGACAAGAATTTAGAGCCTGTTTGGTAGGAATTTTTGGGGGAAGAATTGATTTTGAATAGTGATATGATGGGAAATGTGTAGTTGAAAACGAAGAAAAAATTATTGATGT